GCACTGCTTTCTCCTTCCCCGGAGCCCTTTATTCTCTCCCCAATTTCTTCGGACTGTGACATCAGCCCTTTGAGATTAGCCACATCCCCCAGGACACAGCTCTGTGAGTGGGGAAGTATAGAGACCCTTCCATAGACCTTGATTAGGCAGTGGTGATGGGATGACTGAAGCTAAGACTCTGGCATCAGACTGCCCAGGCTCAAATCCCAGCCTTGCCATCTATCAACTGTGTACCTTGGGCAAGTCAGTGACCTCTCTGAATCTCATGTCCTGATCCATAAAATGGGAATGATGAGTATGGTAAAGCAACACAAAACTGTGCATCATGGAAAGGGCCTGCCAGATAGAATGTTCTGGAAAACTGTTAGCTGTTTGGGAGTATTAGGATCCACGGCACCAATGCCTGAAGCCCAGAAGGCTGACATCAGCTCCTACATGGCACGGGGAAAAAGCTGTTAGAAGCCCCAGCAGAGGCCATCAAGAAGGAGGGCTGAGAGCATAGCTTTCCCCTCAGGCATGGTATAGAGGATTTCAAACCAATCCCTGCCTAAATGCTACCTTAGCAGTCTGTGAGACTTGGAGTTTGATGCCCTCTGCAGGATCCTTATTTAAAAAGTGAACTGCCCACCCCCAGCAGGTCAGACAGCTCCTCCAGGGGAGTGCTGGAGATACCCAGGTTCTTTTCTTCCTGACAAGGGCATGCTGGGGAGAAAAACTATTTCATTTCTAGCCACGCAGCTATGCAGGGTCACATTCTTTGTCTGGTGACTCGATAACAAGTGACTCCGGGGGAGGCTGATCTGACCGGTTTGGAGATAGTAGGTGAGAGGTTAGCAGCTGCCAAACAAGAAGGGGCTCAGCCAGCCTGGCAGCCCCACCCAGACCTCAAACCTAGCTTGGCAGCACCAGCCCCAACAGGCCAACCCCACCCTTGGAGAAATGGGCCTGTCCCAGCCCCATCGAGGAAGCAGTATCCAGGGTCCTGGGTTCTGGATCTCTGCATCTAACTCCCATTGTCACCTTCCTCCTGGCACTTTGATTGACAAGAGCTGCTCTGTGCAGAGGTATGGCATAGATGGAAGGCACAGGACAAGATGCATCCTTTCTCCACAAGCCCATCCCATGGGTTCTGCCTGGAGGCAGTGTAGCTGTGGGATTCTTTGTGAAGTCCCAGGCCTTAGCACAGTGAATACAGAGAACCCCTCTCCTGTGGAGGAAAGTCTGGCTCCTGGTGCTCCTTTTAAAACTTGGAGCATGCTCACTTTATTTATTTTTTTGTCTTTTTTCCTGGACAGTTTCACTATGAAGTTCAGGCTGGCGTTGAACCCCTTATGTAGCCCAGCCTGGCCTCAAACTCACAGTGATTCTCCTGCCTCAGCCTCCCAAGTGCTGGAATTATAGGCATGTACCACCATACCCAACTTGGTCATTTTAAAAAGGATTTATGAGCGCCTATTGTACCTTGCCCTGGGCCCAGGTGTTACAAGGGATCTGGGAACCAAAGGTGAGTGTTGTAGCTTTAGAGGTCAAAGAAGTTTCCAGAGACTCTGGACAGTTTCCAGAAAGAAAAGGCAATGTGGCTGAATCTTGAAAATGTGAAGGGGCTGTCCAATGCAAGATGCAAGACAATGAGAGTCAAAGCATGTGCAATCAAGTCCCCAAGTCCCTGTACAAACTCAAGCAACATCTCCTGGTCGCCAGAGCTTCATTTCACCCTGTTGGGGAAATGTGCCCTGTGGGGCAACCACACGCACAGTTCATACAGCAGCCTGACTGGCCCCAGCATCCCCTGGGACAAGGTTGTCCTAAGAGAGACCCAGCAATTGCCCTAATCCTAGGGACCAGGATAATGCTTGCTGCAGAGACTCTGCCCAGAAGATCTCACAGAACTCTGCTGACCTGTGGACCTGCATCCCCCTACACACTGTTATACACACACCACTTTCCTTCACAAAGAAAGGAGCAGGAGGCATTGGGAGCCAACAGACTTCAGTGATCAGAGCAGAAGGAGACCCAGCCTTGTAATGGAGAAAGTAGGGCAGGAAGAAGGACTTCATCTCCATTCCCACTTTAGTCCCCTCCATAGTCCTTGGGGCTTTCTAGTACTTTTATTTAGAGCTAGTAGGCACTATGGTCATTTCTGGGACCAGGAGGCTGACAACCACAAGTAGATAGAACAAGAAGCAAAGAGAAGAGGGAAATTCTGATCCCTGCTGAAACTTGCCCTCTTCCAAGCAAGCCATGTGGCTTCTGACCCCTCACTTCTACCCCACCTTTCAGGCATGTGACGAGGTTTGAGGGACTGGGCCTTTATCTCGGAAGTGCCCAATTAGAAGTAAAGCCAAAGGGTGCCAATTAACCAATTAGGCCTGGGAAGGGGTATAAGCAAGAGCTCAGCAGGAGACGCAGAAGCAGAACTTCTGCCCCTATATCGCCCCCTGAGGCAGCTGGTCCTCAAGTTTCTGCCAACAGGACAGCAGAAAGTGATTGGGGTGGCACAGAGGTAGAAGTTGGCCTGGAGAGGGAGACTCTGTGGAAATGGGGACAAGATGGAGCAAGTGGTGGTCAGAAAGAGGAAGAGGCCTAGCTCCTCAGGAAGGAGGGGCCTGCCCCAAGGAACAGCAACAGCGACAAGGACAGCAACCACAGTCTTCCTGTTTTATGAGTGACTGCTGCAGCCCAGGCTTCCTGCTGCCATTTCTACTAACAGAGCCAGCGGATAGCTATGGAAAAAGATGAACAGAGATGGCCTGAAAAAGTTCAGGCCCCAAGACAAGGACAAGGGTACTCTGAGATGAATCCTAGAGAAGCAGAAAAGCACAGAGCCTGTGACTTCAATCAGGCAGAGATAGAGTGGCTGGGGAGGGGGCTAAACAGCAGCACGGAGAGGGGTGGGACTAGTTCCTCAGCTGACTAAGCTCTCTGGACCCAGGCCTGCCCGAAGGCTGAGGTTCCCAGGTTCTAGCCTTACTGGTCAATGGGCAGAAGCTCTTAAGTGAGGAGATGTCATCTCCCTCAGCGTGGCTCAGCCATCAACAGAGTGCACATACAAGCCCTGTGCCAGAGGTTGTGCTTAGTGAGGGATGAGAGCCTGTCCAATTGGGTAGGGGATTCTAGGCTTGGTGATGGGGGGTAGGGGTATGATAGGAAGCAGCTGGTGTGGGGGTCACATCTAATCTCTGTCTCCTTTGAGGGCCAATTTAGGACCAGGTCCTGAAGGTCCCTGGGATAGTAGTCCTAGCACACTCACCTATACCTCAAAGGGCCACAGAGAAGAACCCACTCCAGGGCTGCCCAGTTCTCGGCCCAGGATAGGAGTGTGCTGAGACTCTAGATCAAGAGGAGGAGCTGTGGAAATTAACACAATCAGAAGTTTGCCTCTGTCAATCATCACATACATCTACGTAGGAGGGGCTAAGTCCACATTGCTCAAAAGTAGCACTGCCTAGGCCTCTCCCCTGACCCTTGCTGTGCTCTCGGCATCAGGGCTCCACAGAGGCTGGCAAGAGCTCAGTCCTGGCTTACAGGACCAAAGCTTCAGTAGTGAGAAGAACTTCTTGGCCTCAGTCAGCCCCTCACTACCCAGACTGCCTCTTACTCTAGCCTAGGCAGAAGGGCTAAACAGTGCCAAGGGAAAGGATATAGACTAATTTCTCACTTTGTTGCACCCTCCTGCTGTCAGAAAAGCTGGCTTTTCCCCCAAAGGACTCAGAGAAGGCTGTGGCTGGGGCTCCCGAAGCCCCTTACCCCGTTCCATTGTTGTATTAGTGGGCAAAAAAGCTAAGACCTACCAGCCCAGGCCTGATCCTGCCCAGACCCACACTCATCACCCTTTCCGGGAACACCCTGGAGAGATGACTCACTGGGAAAAGACACAAGAGCTGGATCCAGGTCCCCCTACTCAAATACTTTCAGATCCTGTCCCTATAAGTCCTGTAGCCTCTCCAGGGCTACATCAGGTCCTATGCCAAGCACAATACATCACCATGTCATTTCAAGTTCACAATCCCTGTTCTTTTCCTCTGAACAAAGGCAGAAACTGGGCTTTGAGAGTCCAGGATATTGTCCAAAGTCATGGAGCTGGCAAACGTAAGGTACAGATTAAAGCCGTATCTATAAGATTCTACACCCAGGCTCATAGCTACAATTTATAAAGTGTTGCTCTCTTGCTGTGTTTCTAACTTCCAGGAACCATTCTCCCTGCCATGCTTTACCCATCCACATGTTACTGGCATGAACTGAACAAAAGCAGAATTCCCCGTGATAGCAGATTCAAAGGTTTCTGGTTATAGGGCAAAGTCCTGGGCTGGAATTGTGTGTCTTAAGCCAAAATAAGATGGCTAGATCAGCCACTCCAGAAGACCCCCATTCGACCTAAATCAGTGTGCCAGGCCTCCAGGGAGTTCAGAGCAGACGTGGCTAAATGACTGACCCACCCTTTACCCAGGAACCAGGGTGAATCAGGCTTGTAGCAAGGCCTTCCCCTTTCAACATGGGAGCAGTGACTCACTGGGAGCCCCGTGGCAGCCTCCTACCCCAGGAACCATGGGCATCATCAGCTTTGCCCATTGGCCAATCCTGGGAGGCTCACGTCACATCAACCGGGGGAGGCAAATGCCTCAGAGAGGAAGACTTCAGATGGAGCCCTTGGTGGAGACTCAGTCACAGGCAGAGAGAAACTGAGATCCATCCCAGTCACAGCAGCCAAGTTGAAGGACCTAACCTGAACCTGAACACACTGGCCCCAGCAGAGTCAGGGCTCTAAGCCATTCCTTCCCTCTTTCCGGATACATTAGCTCTACCCATGGTGACTCCGCCCCTCAATCGCTAGGACCCTGATCTTAAACTAAACCTGTTTGCCCAGGTGAAAAGTGAGGAGGATCATGAATCTGACCTTACAACACAATAGGAGAGGAAACAAGATGCTGGCCATTGGAAGCTGACTAGAAGCCCTGGACACAGACGCTCCTACAAGTCACCCCAAGATGAGGGTCACTAACCTTCAAGGCACATTTCTGCCCAGTGCGCCGATGGAAGCACTCCAGCACCTTGCCGTTGACTCCTAGACCCAGCACCTGCTTAGATAACTGGTAGTCATCGGTAACGGCATACTTCTTGGGCTCCCTCCGCGTTGGAGCACCACCCACTCCGGATTCACCGAGGGCCCCAGGTGGGAATGCAGGGCCGCCCTTCTCCGCAGTCTCGCCATCCATGGCCCGCGTGGGGCACTCAGAAGCGCACCCAGCCTGGAGCGTCTGGGGCCCTTGGGGAAAGGGAAAGAGTGATTCCCCCTCCTGAACTTTCCCAGCACGCCCGGCCTGAGTCCCTGAATTTGACTGGCCTGGGACAACCTTGAGACGCGTCGTCGCGGACAGCCTAAGAATAAGGACAGGCAACGGGCGGTGGTGGCCCCGCAACCTGACATGTGTCAAGGGAAGGCCCAGGGGAGTGGCCGCTAGGTCCTGAGATGGTGCAGAGCCGAGGCTCGGGAGTGGGCACCAGGCGAGGACGCACCTGACGGCGCGCGGAAGCAAAGGCCCAGGCAGCAGGCGCGGGAGCAGGCGGCCCGGGGCACCCTGGGCCCAGAGTCTCGCCGCCCGCCCCGGCCCACGTGACACCCCCAACCGCGCGTCACTGGACTTGGGGCCCCGCTAAATCTGCCTTAAAGGGCCAGGCGGATTGCGACTGGGCCAGACCTCGCAGGACAGCGTAGGGGGCGTGGCTTCCTGAGGGGGCGGTAACCTTCCTGGCTTTCTGAGACACGCGGGAGGACTCCCGCACTTGGGATGCCTCCCTGGACCTTACGTGTGATCCAGAAAGTGACAGAATAGGACGTCTTGTTTCTCTTGAAGTTTCTACTTGAATATTCCCTCAGTGCGCTGCCAGATGGCACTCCAGAGTGCCTTGCTGGGCTGCTGGCTTCACTCGTGGTGGTTTGCCGTCCCGCACTCATTCCTCCATCCTCAATGAGGATTGAGCCCTGGACCTTCCAAAGCCCGTCATACCCAGACTGTGTTTTAACGAAGATCTCCCTAAATTGCTAAATTGTGTAGGCTGGATTCACACTTGTGATCCTCCTGCCTAAGCCTACTTGAATGCTGCCAACCGTTAATTTTCGTCAGCATGCCTAGGGCAGTGGTATCTTATTGTTTGATTTGTGACTCTCCAGTCCCTGGTGGCACTTGCTACTCATATCCACAGCTCATTTTTTTTCCTTTGGTTATATCAGCACTTTCTTGGATCAGAAATCCTGATTTTCCATTTACCTGGATTCGTCAACTTTTCACCTTATGTTGTGGGCTTTTGGTATTGTTTTTAAAAGGATTTTGGGCAGCTGAGGTGGAGGATTATAAATTTAAATCCCACCTGGGAAACTGTCTGTCTCGAAATTTAAAAACAAAAACTAAAAAGGGTCGGAGATATAGCTCAGTGCAAAGGCCTTGGGTTCAGCCCATTATACTGCAAAAAACATCTCTGCCTCCCACCCCAGCGGCATATTCTCTATAGCTTTGTGGGTTGTCTTGTTTAGGCATCTACTTCTTTCTGATCCCATTCTTGGCCTGTTGTACATATTTTGATCCAATTTTCCCAACACGGTCTCTTATTTTACAAATGAAATTGAGGCTCCCAGAGAGGAAACAAATTTTATTTAGAGCCTGTGGCTGTGTCCTAGTGGCAAATCTCACTAGTTCCGTAAATCGTTCAACCCGGAAGACTTAAAGACCCTGGCGAGGTGGCACTCTGTAAGTAAAGGGCTGGTGAGAGCAAGATCTCTTTGTGGGGTTCTGCTGCCATCTTCGGGCCATAATTAGAGCTACAGGCACTGCGATCTTGATCCATCCAAATGAATCTCGAGACCATTTTCTTGGCTTCAGAACTGGTGACCCTTGAGGCCTTTGCCTCAAGGCAAAGGTGCCTCAAGGCACCTTCTGGGTGCCCAGGCTGCATGTCCAGGCTCCTCCAAGGAGCTGGAACCTGGTGACCAGCACATCCCTGGTGATTGTCTGTGAGTACTGAGTAAATGATGAGTAAAGGGGGCTCCACTACTGATAGGTATTCTCTGGGTGCAAGTGCTGAGTTGGAACAGGACTTGGGGCTCTGGTCCTGTCTCCTCCAGATGACCTTCACGCTAGCAGCATTCAATGAAGTGGGAGTCCACAAACAATATGCTCAACTAATCACACTGAGCATTTTCTGCTAGTAGCATTTTCTACTAGATAGACGCTCCACCACAACAACCTCACCAAGGACAGAGGAGGAAGGCAAACCCACACTGCAGACACACAAAGAGATCATTCCAGAGAGGATGACAATCTGTTTAAAGTCAGCAGCCATCATACAGAGTCCATATCCCCACCCCCAAAACACAACCTCAGGCCTGGGCTCTTCCTCTCAAATCAGAGTCTCTCGTGTGTGTGTGTGTGTGTGTGTGTGTGTGTGTGTGTGTGTGTGTTGGGAAGCGGAGTACTAGAGATTAAAGCTAGGGCCTTTGTGCGGAGCTACATCTCCAGTCCTTTTTTTGCTATTTATTTTGATACATGGTCTCTCAAATTTGCCAGGCTGGCTTTGGACTTGTAAGCCTTCTGTCTCATCTTCCTATACACCTGGGATTACAGGCCTGCATAACCACACTTGGCCTGTGGCCTCTTCTAGTAGTTCGCCCTACACACAGCCAAATGTGCAAGCATAGTCTTACACATGCACACGTGTGGGCACAAACACAAAGGCTCTTACACATGGGTATGTGTATGCATAGACAAACATGCACACTACATGCACATGCACATAGATATATGTGTCCATGCAGAGACCCAGCTGACACAGGACCAATGTCCCCTCGTTCCACATGTGAATCAGATCCAAGATCTCAGAGCCTAGAAGAAAGCCCCATGATCCAGAATCTTCTCCTGAAGGGAGGCTGGGGAAAGTACAATCTTTTGAAGTCAACCAGTTTTGGCCTGGTGAACTGAAGGCAAACAGGATGAAAGGATCCTGCAAATGAGGAAAGGGACTGGGCAGCTGAGGGCAAAGGCTGGCTCCTGGACCCACCAAAAACCTCTCAGTGAAGCTATCTGGAGTTATACTACAATTCTCTAAAAATTTTTGTAATTGTGTACCTTAAGCTTACCTATTGTAACAATAATTTTAATCACATAAGTAAAACTTGTTTGTTATAATTAATTCAAACCATACATGTGACAATTAAGCTTAATTGTTAGCTTGGTTGTCTTGGAGTCAGCCAGAGGATTAGTACACTTCTGAATGTTTCTGTAATAACTCGGACCCTGGTATAAAATCCAAGGAAGCAAGAGACTGAAATTTGGGAAGCAAAGGCTTTATTTCCAGGCCTGGTGACGAGTCTCCGGGAGCCAATTTGGAGACTGCACACCAGAGACTGAAGGGAGGACTTTAAAAAGAGGCTGGAGGAAAAGCGGGGGGAGAAACAAAAAAACCTGCAGAGCCATCAAACTTGTTAACCCGAATCTGGAAACTGTATAGCTGTCCACTTAGTTCTGACAACCTCGGGAGCCTTTGACACCTTTTGAGTTACTCCCATCCTGCAGATAAGAATTATCTGCAATAGCATTTGGAGAAGAAAGTAGAAAGCTAATTATCTCAGGACAGCTCGTTAACACTAACAGGTGGGAAGGGGTCAAAAGTTACAAGAAGCTGAAACTTAAGTTTTCACAAGGATTTAGAACTTAACCCTTTTGGTGCATTAGGGTTAAACCACAACATTTTCCTGTAATTTCTCTGAAGCTAAGGCACATTTTATGACAGACCACCACCGGGTCAGGAAGAGGCCACCAGAAACCCAAAATCTTTATGGCCTAGCCTAGATATATAGGTAAGGGGAGAGGGAGGCAATAAGGCGCCATACAGAACAGAAAACGGCGGTTATGTTTTTCTTTCTTTCTGGGGAGGGGGATCAAGGTCAGGTAAAGGGTTATGATAATAAGCAAATCTCCCTGCACACAAGCAAGTTACTTCAAACAAGTGTAAATTAGTGGGCCATCCTAGTTTTCTTTAGCTCTTTAGCGGAGAATAGAGGTGCCTAACAGTGATTAACAACACTGTTAGCTTGTTTTAGTACCACTTCTGTTATGTAGAGGGCAACAATGGTTAACATATTGATTAGGTAAGGTTTTACAATTCTTTACAGAGGAGAGCATTGCTTAACATATCAATTAGGTCATCCAAAGACATAAGAAGGAAAATACATACAGTAAGCCCATGTTACAGGTTTTGTTATAATACACATATAACGAAGCTATTTTCTTAGAGTACAACAGTTTCTAGGTGGGTGTCTTAGTTATTTTTCTCATTGCTAGGACAAAATACCTTACACCCAAAGTTAAAGGAGGAAAGGTTCATTTTAGTTCACAGTTCATAGAGGTTTTAGTCCATAATCATTTGGCTCCAAAGCAGGGCAGCATGGCAAAGTAGCATAAAGTAGAAGAGAAACAGTCCGTGGTAAGGCAGGCAGAAAAAAAGCAGTAACCTGCCTTCTACCTTTCCCTTTATAGTCCATCTAGGATACAGTCCAGCATGGGCATCCCATCACCTATATCCAGAACTATACTAAATCAATCAGTGGACTGATCTAATTGTCACATACCCTTAATCCAGTATCACACACCCATTGTCTAGCTAAAAAAGCCCCACATATGAGGGCATGAAGTGTTGGGGGGACATCTAGATATAAGCCATAACAGTGGGTCATGGAGGCATGACCTTGGGGTCTATGTCTGGTCCCTGGTCCCTTATTTGCTGCCACTGTTCCCCTGCTGTTTCCTGGCTGCCATAAACTAAACAACTTTACTCCATTAGTCAACCATGCACTGAATTGTCTTAAACCATAAGCCAAATAAACTCTCTTTAAGTTATTGATGTCAGGTATTTTATCTAGCAACAGGTAAGCTGACTACTGCAATAGAGAAGTGTAAAAAGTAAGCAATGGTGATGCCTATCCCTGCCTAGTCCCATAATACCCATGCTCACACAGGCACACACACACTATCCACATGGGCTCCTTATAGGAAAAAATTTTTTTGGTGCCAGGGATCAAACTCATGACCACACACTGGCAAGGCAGGTGCTTATGTTGCTGAGCTGAATCTCCAACCCCTAGGCAAATGTTTTATAACTGCTCACTTTAACCCTGGAGTCAGAATACTTGGTTTCTTCTCAATGCTCATGTTCTAGCAGTAACCTGCCACACCCCCTTTTACACTGATGGGAGAGTTCAGGATTCAGAATGCTTTATAGAAGGGGATAGAGACAGGCTCTTGAAATAGCTTACAGTGACCAAGGTGAGTCACGGGATAGTCAATATACATGTGCTCTGGCCTTGATGGGGAGAGGAAAGCTACTTGAGATGAGCAGACAGAGACCAAATCAGCCAGGTATGGAGGAAGGCACTGTTGTGTATTCTTGGGACCTGTCCTGTGATTCTTCTGGACAAAGAAGGGCAGGGGAAGCCTGCAGCATGATGAAGTCATAGCTGAATGGTGGAAATACGCTAGAAGGGACCCTGGAGATTTGGTCAGAGGGCTCCTGAAAAGGAGCACCACTTGGTGGCAGTATGGGCTCAGTGGTGTGGGGGAAGGCAGTGGTTCAAATGTTTACAGAGAGCTGACAGGGCAGAAGAGAATAGGAGATGGCCAGAGGCACCCAAGGCCTGAGGTAGACAGGCACGTAGAGCCCAACAGGAAACACCATTTTTATAGCACAGAGGTGAGGACAAGACAATTGTGTTGAATTCATAATGACTGGAGGGCCAAAAGCCCTGGGACCCTTTAGTTTACACACAGAGCTGTCTGATAACTGATCTCTGGGGGGATGCTTTCAAGGGACACTCATGCTGCTCTTCCATTGACTGTCCTGGTGACAGAGAAATTTGGATGTGAAGCTTATGTTTGGATCCTAAAAGATGTTTTGAAGTTGGCAGGTCATAAGCACCTAGATAAAAATAGGAGGAGTGTAGGACCTTAGCTTCAACCCATTACTTGCTACCTATGAAATCTAGGGAATAGTAAGATCATTCTATGCCTCAGTGTTCTCACCTGTCAGATGGAATAACTGTGTTAGTTGTGACTATACAAGAGGCTTTAAATTGCTGAGTGTCTGGCACATAGCAAATGTTCAGGACAGTAGTCACAGTAAGCAGGAAAGGGTATGGTTTTAGGGTTAGAGATCTTAGAATTTGGTCCCATAAAGATCAAGTTTCAAAATTTAGAGCTCTAGGGGGTTAAGGATGTGGCTCTGTGGTGAAAGTGTTGGCCTAACATGCATGAGACCCAGAGCTTTTAAAAAAAAAATTGCACCTCTGTTCCTTGGCAATTGTGAAGCCCCTACATCCACATAGTAATGGGGCAGTAGCTACTTCCTACAGAAGAGACAGAAGCCAACTCAGGAGCCCCATAGTAGGCTCTCCAGCCCTAGCCCTCCAAGTAGATGATGAGGTATTCCTCCCATACTACTCCTATCCCAAGAAACTGGCTTCTCTGGCCTGTTCAGGAGGAGCTGACAGAGCTACACTGAAGTCTTCTCTTTAAGCAAGTCACAGAGAAGCAATCTCCCAGAGTCATTCCTCATATTAGCCAATTATTTTTTCCTATTATACAGGTCTTTGCGTTCAGATCTCTTTATCCACTGCTCCATCCTGGTTACCAAAACACCTTGGGCCTTGTCTGCCCTGAGGAAAACCCTGTCTCTTATTCAGGCCTCCTAACCACTGCTATTCCCTGGATCTCACAACCCAAATTTTTTCTGAGGATTCTGAGGGCACACACTGGGCAGTGAGTGGGTGAGAGGGAGGGGATGCTGATCTCTGGAGGGGATGCTTTCAAGGGACACCCATGCTGCTCTTCCATTGACTGTCCTGGTGACAGAGAAATTTGGATGTGAAGCTTATGTTTGGATCCTAAAAGATGTTTTGAAGTTGGCAGGTCATAAACACCTAGATAAAAATAGGAGGAGGAGTGTAGGACCTTAGCTTCAACCCATTACTTGCTACCTATGAAATCTAGGGAATAGTAAAATCATTCTATGCCTCAGACTCTACAGATCTCATCTCCCCTAGTCCTTCTGGCCTAAGGGTTAGGAGAAGGTTCTCACAGACCGTATGGTCATTTAACATGCTCCCTGGTGCATCACAAACTAGAAAAGGTGGTAGGGATTAGGGCAGACTACTGCAAAAGCCTTGGAACTACCATTTCCTAGCAAGGCATTTTGTTCCCCAGGGCTCTACATGTCTTCATAAGGGGGTCAATGTCATTCATTGAGGATCAAATGTAGCAAGTAAACTGTAGGTCACTGGAGTGCTGTCCACCTCTATCCTACCCCCCCCCCAAATTATCTCCTGGTGTTTGAACCGCCAGGTCTTCCTCCCTACATTTTCTGAGGGCTCACCAAATCAAAGTATAGACTATCCTAGGGCCAACTAACCCCATCTATCTATCTCAGAGCACTTCCCTGATTAATGGGGCCCCGGCAGCTTCCTCTCCTCTTTCAAAGAAAATGTTGTTGCTTGGATTCTTTGGTCGTAGTGGCCGCAGGCTCAACCCAAATGACCTGCTCATTTCAAGGGGCAGCCCCTCCTCCCTGCCTCTCTCTCCTGTCCAGACCCCACCCCAGCCTTCACAAGCCCACACACAGTTCTTGGGACCAGGCGCAGACCAAAATAGCGCCTGTACTCCCAACAGATCGCCTAGAAGACGCTAGCAAGGAGCGACAGGCTCCAGACCTTGCCTCCGCGCTCGCACTGGTTCGGTAGAGAGATGAGCCGACCCATCCCCTACGAAGCGGCATATGGAAGGCAGCCTGAAATAAGGGCGCAGGAGCCTCGAGTCCCTCCCCAGCCTGCCTTAGTCGGATCTCCCGAGGTTAGTCCCTCAGTCCCGCCCTGGTTGGGCACGTCAATCCTAGGCTCACACGCTACCATTGGCCCTCTCGGCCACTAGGCTCCACCCCCTTCCCTGCGATTGGTCAGGTCCAGGATCCCCGCCCCATTTTCCTGGAAAGTTCTTGGAAATGTGTCAAAGGTGTTTTATTTCGCCGCCCTAGGCAGAGTCGCAGAGCAGATGGCACCCCCTACACACACCCGCACACCGCGCCCTCGCCTGCCCCGCCGCAGCACCACCTGCAATTCTAGGAAGACACGGCTTCCGGGAAGGGCTGGGACGCGGCGGACGGAAGATTAGCTGCGGCTCGCCCCGCCCCCGCCGGCCCGCCCCCTCGCCCTCCCTGCCCCTCCTTGGTCCTCTGCACAGTCTTCTCTCAGTTCCCGCCTGCCGCCGTGTGCCCCGGACCCAGATCTGCTTGCTTGGCGCCCATTGCTCCCTCTGCCGCGGTCCCGCCGAGCCCCTCCAGAGCCGCCGCTGCGCCGGGACATGGTCCTCTGCGTCCAGTGGTAAGCGCGGCTCTCCAGGCGCACCGGGGAGCTCAGGCCGCGTGCCAGCTGCCAGGCTTTAGGAGGGCTGGGCGGGCTGGGTGACGGAGGGCGCAAGGACCTCGAGGGTTCGGTACTCTGTGGGCCTGGGACTGCTCCCTCACAGACACTCTGTGGGTAGGAAAAATAGAAGCTCGCTGGCGAGGAAGGAACGGAGGGTGGAATCCGCCGTGGTTGTCACTGTGTAGGAGATGGACGCCTATGCGGAGGTGTCCCTTAGGACCCATAGCCTCTTCCTAGCCTGCCAACAGTCCTGCCTACTAGTGACCTTGGGCCAGCCCCTGCCCCATTCTATCCAAATGTTCATTCCCCTGCCTTAGCTAGCAGCCTTCACTTTAAAGCCAGCCTGAGATCCTTGCCTCTCCCCAGCTCTTGGGAGCATCCTCACTCCTCGATTCTTAGCCCAATGTGATGAGGAGCTTGGCTCCTGTCTCCTCATTCCCCAGAGACCCTGGAGGACAATGTGAATGGCGGTGCTGAAAGCTTAGCGCCTTGACCTCAGCTGAGCCTTCTTGAACACCTGCACTTCTTGGGCTTCAATATGTCTCTTTCAGTTAAAAGTCTGATGCTCTACTTCTCTAAGGGATGAATGGAAACTTAAGATTATACTGTAATTGGTATCAGTCAATTGAGTCCAGATATACATCGACATGGATGGGTAACCAGAACACCTGGACCTATCCTTTTCCAAAAATTTTCCTTTTAGAAGTTATAGATGGCCAAGGTTAGTAGTGCCAGCCATGTACTCTTGGGATATACTTGTAGTCCGTTGATTATAGTTTGGCCCATGACATACCTACATTATAACTTTCTGTATAAATTTCCCCTGACAAAGGGCCTCCGTGACAACTCATAGGACATCCCACTACCACCATTTCTCAGGAACTACTCCTATTCCTCAATAAACCTTTCCTACTCAAAAAGAAAAAGAAAAAAGTCTGACGCTCTCCACTGATCTGAAACTCCAAGGAAAAAATGGAGCTATAAGTGGGTATGCCATACTTAGGGAGAGCCAGGTGGCCCAGTGGCAGCTGTTATCAGAACTAGCACAAACAGAGTGCCAAGTAGGGGAGAGTGAAAGCCAGACTGAAGTGCCCCTTGCTCTACACAGTCCTTGGTCCAGGGAAGGAAGAAGATGTGGAAGTCCTGGAAAGATTACTTCTCCCTAGTTATCTCCAGCATGTTCCTTCCTCTTCTGAATTTCCTCCCCACATTATCTTTCTCCACAGGTGATTCCCCCTACCCCATCCCTGTTCCACATGTCCCTAATTGAGGGCTCTGTGTGCCCTCAGGACCAGTATTCAAGGAGCAAGATCTTTAACAACCCCCTAAATACACATGCATGTGCACACACACACACACACAGAGCAAGGAGCAAGATCTTTAACAGCCCCCTAAATACACATGCATGTGTACACACACACACACACACACACACACACACACACACACACACAGCCCCAGAATAGCTGGTACCATCCTGAGGGCAGAGATTCCCAACTGTAGCTCTGTGGAAGACCCCACCTCTGGCTGAGTTCACACCCCTAGCATGTGTTCTCATGGAGGACTCATTGGCTGGGCTCCAAGGCGGGGAAATACATGCACCTGGAACATGCCAGCCCCACCCTACCATAATGATGACACAGCCATGGACACACCCCTGCCCAGATATGTAGTCACTCCAACCTTTGAAGACCAGCTTCCCACACTCAGATACACATCAGCCCCAGAGGTCCCACACCTATACTGGGGACCTGCAGAGGTTCTGCCAAGCAGCCAGGTCTCATCCCAGAGGTTCTGACCTAAGCAGCTACCTACCCACAATGCTCCCAGAAGGTGTGCAAGCCAAGGTCTGGATGCCAGAAGGCAGGTCACCTCAAAATTCTGCCTCCAGCTCCTCAAGCAGGATTTGAGTGCCCATAGTATAGCCAGGTTAGGTGTGGGAAAGTACTTTGCAACTGTAGTGTGTCAGAGTTGTGTGGTTCCTTCTTGTGAGTGATCGTAGAGCCATGACCTTGTAAGGGTCACCTAGACTGTCAGGTTCAGCTTCTTTGCCTGCCACCAGCTCCTGTAATACCTTCTTGCCTTATGAGCAGTACCTGACACAGTATGTTCAGGCTGTCATGTCTGCCTATGGTGCTTTCCCCTGACTCCTGCCTTTGGCCTGACATTCAGCTCAGGAACAGGCAGACCCTGACTTCCACTTGACCCTGTGCTTTTATGGCTTCGGGTTATAATTACTCCAAGTGCCACTTTCCCCAGCCAGTGTGGGAAGAACCAATTGTTTTATTCTCTCTGGATCCCAAGGCCTAGCAAGGACTAAACCAAAAACTGAGACCTGGGGTTATGTTCTATTAAGAGTGAGGAAGGACTGGCAGCCCCTTCCTTAGGAAACTGGCCAGTCCCTGCCCCACTGCCCTGGGGAAGAAGCCCAGTATCATCAAGCTGGGTGGACTTCCCCATGAGGAAGCTCCTGCACAGATTTTGGCCAGCTTAGTTACCCTGACCCAGCTGGCACCTAAGGATATGATGTTGCCAAGCCTCTCAGTGCAGACTCCTTATTGGTGAGAGGAGAACTGGACCTGGGGAGGAGTAAGCTATACATAAGACCATAGAGCCCAGGAGGGCTGTCTTGCCAGCAAGGGTCTGTAGTGTTGGTTGAGTACTCTGCCCTTTAATGGGAGCTCATGTTTGTGGGAAGTGAGACTTGCCCATTTCTTTAGAGGACACTGTATATTCCTCTCAGCTGAGAGGAACAGAGGCCAGGTTGGGAGTCTTACTTGTGTGGGTAATGGGTTGCTTCAGCTTTAAAGTCCTTGTCACTATAGACCTAAGTCCTGCTGACTGACATACCTATATGGACATGGGAAACAACTTGTAACCTCAGGCATCTTATAGTAATCTCGGGGCCCCCATCCAGGTCCCTCCTATTGCTAAATCAGGATCAGGGTCATCTGATTAGCCTATCTCAGCCAAGCGAGCACAAAGGTAGGTCTAGTTTACAGCAGTGTCTATCACCTTGGTTGGGATGCTAGAAATGCTCATAGGTAGGATCTGTTCAGGATAGATCCAAAAAGAGAGAAATAGATTACATAGCCTTTAATAAGTGGAAGCAGTCAAGGAGGTTTCTGTAGAAATGCATTAGGCATTAGAGCCTCTACTCATTGCCAGTCCTCCCCTTTTTAGATCTAGTCCTTTGCTGGCTGTAGAACAAATTGGGCAGTGGGCCCAGAGCCTTCAGTTGTCTGAGCTAGCCATGCAACCTTTGCCTGTTGGGGTCTTCCTGGAAGAAGTGACAGAGGAGACACCTATCCAACCAGAGAGTGAGCCAAAGGTGCTGGACCCTGAAGAGGATCTTCTATGCATAGCCAAGACTTTCTCCTACCTTCGGGAATCTGGTAAGTGTGTAAAGGGAGACAGGTCCTGTCCTGGGAAATCTGCTGGAGAGAGCTTATCTATTTTTTTTTTTTTTTTTTTTTTTTTTTTTTTTTTTGTCTTTTTGAGACAAGTTCTCGCTATGCAGTTCAGGCTGGCCTTGAGCTTACTTTGTAGCACAGGCTGATCTGGAACTCACAATCCTCCTGCCTCAGCCTCTCGAATGCTGGGACTACAGGCGTGAGCCACCACACCTGGCTGACGGAGTCTTTGTTGGTTGAGTCTGATTTGGGAGACATGGCCCTCACTTTCTGAGAGAGTCTAATGGGAAAGGTACAGTCCTGTACTTTGAAGCACGAAAAGAAAAGCATGATACTGAATGTTCCCTGGGTTGGTGCCTCAGCTGATTTCCAATATAACTAAACCCTTGTCCCTTTCTTCGCCCTCCTAGGCTGGTACTGGGGCTCTATTACAGCCAGTGAGGCCCGGCAACACCTTCAGAAAATGCCAGAGGGCACGTTCCTAGTACGAGACAGCACCCACCCCAGCTACCTGTTCACACTGTCAGTCAAAACCACTCGTGGCCCCACCAATGTGCGCATCGAGTATGCTGACTCCAGCTTCCGCCTGGACTCCAATTGCTTGTCTCGGCCTCGTATCCTGGCCTTCCCAGATGTGGTGAGCCTTGTGCAGCACTATGTGGCCTCCTGTGCTGCTGACACTCGAAATGACAGCCCTGATCCTGTTCCTGCCCCACCTCTGCCTATGCCTAAGGAGGTTGCTCCTGGTGACCCAGCACTTCCTGCCCCTGCAGCCACTGCTGTACACCTAAAATTGGTGCAGCCCTTTGTACGAAGGAGCAGTGCCCGCAGCCTACAGCACTTGTGCCGCCTTGTCATCAACCGTCTGGTGACTGATGTGGACTGCCTACCACTGCCCCAACGCATGGCCGATTACCTCCGACAGTACCCCTTCCAGCTCTGACTGGGCCTGCTACATTGCCCAGCTTCATACAGCCACATTCTGCAAGAGACACAGGCCTCTGCTAGACTCGCCCTGCCGTCCCTCCTTCAGTTGTCATGATGCCTACATGCATCTGGTAGCTAGCTGGACCAGGAAGAGCTAACAAGAAGGCCACAGGGTGACGAGGGGAGCTGTCACACAGTTTGTGGCTCCTTTATTGTGAGTCATGTGTCAAAGGCGAGGGAGACAAGCAGGACCTTGTCTCACCCTGCAAGATCGGTCTAGGTCTTCACTCATCTACCTGCCTCAACTTTCTGAACTCTGTAGACTTTCTCAGTTCTGGTTTCCCAATCCACAGGGTGGGGCAGGCCCCCTATCCCCAGCCAGCCTCAGTTGTTAGGAAGAGGGTGACCAGAGAAACTGAGGAACAAGAGGAACTGAGGTTGACAACTGAGGAGCAGGCCAGGCTGGGGGACACAGTTATACAATATTTATTTATTTATTCTTGGAGTTGGTCTCAGATGATCCACCCCACCTCTCTTCCCTGAGCCCTGGGTTGTCCAGAAATAGCTCTGTGCCAACTTCTCTGGTTCTTCCCTGTGGAGGACCCTGTCCTGAGATATGGTTCTGGACCCAGGGCAGTTTTGGACGTCTTAGCAGTGCCCCACCTACAGGTGAACATGTGTGTTGTCTTCTATCCCCAGCCCAGTTTGGGGAGGGCAGATGAATGGACAAGAAAGTAGAGCCAGAGTCTCAGTCCCCAGCAGAGCCTCTAGCTCACCACTTGCAGGACTGGGCCAGGCCTGCATAGCACTGAGAGCGGGGGAGAAATACATAGCTGATAAATACTTTATGAAATAATTATTGTAACATAAAAACCAGTTTGGTAGTCTTTTTTTCTTCCACTGATTTTTCTGTAATGTAATAAAATTATACCTTTCATTTAATAGAGCCTTCAGTGGGCCTCTTTCGAGTTCTGTACACAGTTTGTCCCGTTTGGTCCTATTACTGTGAGCCTCTGTTTCACATGCAGGCAGGGGGAAGCCCAGAGACGTGTGTCTGAGCAGAGACACAGTGAGGGCTAGAACAGACAAGGAGTAGCTGTTCGCTTGGGAAAATGAGACAGGAAATAAAGCCCATTGGGCTGTTTACCAGGTCACTGTAAGACACTGCTGAGTGGGTGGGGAAGGGAGGTGACAGGGAAGCAGAGAGGCTAAATTGCATAAACAGGAAGTGTCCATACAGAATGGACTGGCAAATACCAGTCTGAGGATGTTGCAGCCTACCTAGGAGCAGGGATTCTTCACAAAAGGGAGCCAGCATTCCCAGAACTCAGGGCCAGTCTTGCAGACAAAAGGTACAGTGAATGTAAAGGTGTCAAGGCATGGCTGAGGGGGCCTGTTTTCCTGACACAAGAGGCCTGGGGCAGAGGGGTGTCAAGGTCCAACCTGGAACTTTCAATTGTCACTCAGGGTCTTGCGCTCCAGAACTGGGAGGGAGAGCTATTAAAATGAAAGTATCCTCTGGTATTTGATGACTTTGAAACACTCAGGCTGCTGAGACTCCACTATGTTCTGAAATTTTTTGTACCTTGGCACTGAGATCCTCACAGGAAAGCTTTGAACCTTCAACCCTTATTTTCTAAACAGGTCTAATATTTCTGTCTTGTTACCCCTTGGACCTTTAGAAGTTACAGATTAGATGGATTTTTTTTTTTTATCAGTACCAGGGATTGAACTTGCAACTGCCTGCTTGCAAGGCAGGCTAGAAGTTACAGATTAGAAGAGGCAAACATGCTGGTTAACTGAGAGCAGGAAAGGATAAGGAGTGAAATGTTGAGGAGGAAGATGAGGCAGGAGAAAGATAATCAGCAGGAATTATGGAGGCACAGGGCCTCAGGAACATGGAACTCGGCAAAAAATAGGAACATCTCAAGAGCTGGGTAAGGGGGCTTGGGGATTTAGCTCAGCGGCATAAGCACCTGCCTTACAAGCAGGCGGTCGTGAGTTCGATCCCTGGTACTGATAAAAATGAAAAAAGATCAAGAGCTGGGTAAGGGAGGCAGGCTGCTTTACTGGGAATGATGCCCTTGCTCAGGTGTCCAATCTGACCCCCCTCCTCCTGTTGCTGGTGACAGCTTGGACCCTTGACCCCTCCCAGGAATACGCACAGTTTCTCAGGCCTGCAACCTGGATCTCAGACCTTTCATGGCTCACAAAGTATATAGGATGACTTCTCTGTCAGCTCCACCCCAAGATCTAAGTTACCCAGTGGGCAGAGAGTGGACATGGAGGGACCAGAAGCAAGGTGTTCCCCACCTGGGTGCTGCGGCAAGACAGCTGTGTGGCATGAGGAAGTACTACAAGCCTCATTATCACGGGGATAGCTCAAGGGGCCTGCCAGGCACAAGGATTTTGCATTTCACATATCACCACTATAGAGGAGTCCAAATGCTACCCACACTCTGCAGAGGAGGAAACTGAGGCTCAGAGGGGCTGACTGAGACTGCTCAGAGCAGAGCTCACCTTGATGCCATCTACCTCTGGACAGATATGAGGTGGGAGGGCAGGCAGCCAGGCAAGTTACTCAGGAATGTTATCCCTTGTCCCTCGCCCCTGCCTGCTAGGCTCTGGTGCCACTGGCCTGACAAATAGGGTGCTGTGTTCTCCACCTCTACCTCAGCTGAAGCCAAGGTCCTGTTCTTTCCTAGGGACCAACTGCCAGCTTCTTTTGACTCCCCTCATTTTTCTGGTTCAGTCTCTTTGTTTCCCTACCAAGGGAAGGAATGATGCCTGTCTGGAACAGAGACAATAGAAGATGTCATTGAACCCCAGATCCAAGTGTGACACCTAGGGTAACAGATACTGAAAACCTGGCCAACACAACCAGTTAGTAAAAGGGATGTAACCTGTTGTACTCACCCCAAAAAAACAAGTCCCCATGATGAAAAATGGGGCAAGACAACATCTTTTTTAAAAGAAGTGCTTTTATTTTAGCTGGCCCCACAACCCAGTGCAAATGGAATTTGCAAAGCTATGCAGCTGAGTTAGAATTTTGACTGATTTTTATAGTTCATTTGTGATTAGCTCATTGATCATTAAGTACATAGCAATGAGAAACAGAAACAAGGTGGGCCGTTGTTCCCCTTTGCTTGAGGTCAGAGGCATTTCATAGTGGGTGGTTAGCCAATTCATAGCTCTTGGTCTGCCAATTCCAGGAACATTTGTCTCTCATAAAGGGAACAATGGTTGACACAGCATCATTTGTCTCTTACAAGGGGAACCAAAGTTGACACAGCAAACAGGTTACTAGAGGCAGGGAACGACACATACAGAACAGTATGACGACGTGGTCAGTTAATCTGTGTGGTTGGTGCTTGGTTACTAGGGCGATAAGCATAGAGCATAACACAACCCAGCTAGTGCCAGCTGGGGAAAAAGGAGTGAGCCACCTGGTGAGTGCCCAGGACTCTGCACAGTGTACAAATGTGACAATGACCCATCACCAAATAAGCGCTTCACCAGTGCATAAGCTCCTTTGACACCAACTGGGCCAGACTCCCTCTCAGCCCTGGGGGACATTAAGGAACAAATCAGTGATAAATGCATACACAGGACAAGTTTTGACAGTGTAAAGAAAGCAAAGTGGGTGGCAGGGTAGCCAGTAGCTTTAGGTGTGAGGACACCCCTGCAGCTGAGAAGGTCAGTGAAAGTGCTGAGCAGGATGGCAGTGAACCCAGAAACCTGAGGAAAGAGCAGGAACTGAGGAAAGGAACCAGACGCAGAACAACAGCTCCTAGGCAGAAGCAAAGCTGGAGTACAGAGCACTGTGGGAACGGCTGGAGGGAACACCTGCATTACCCTAGCACAGTGGAGCTCCTCTTCAGAGTCTAGTGGGTGTCTTGATTCTGACATCATCTATAAAAAGTGTGCCTAACATCTTAGAGGGGGTACCTAGGGCCTGGAAGCAGGAGGGCAGAGAAAATGTTATGCAGTAGGGCATTTGGTGAGATGGGTGCAGTGAGAAGCAGAAGGAGAAAAGGGTGGCCACTCATGCCCCATTGAGTTCTCACCATAGCCCTGAAAGCCAACAAGATTGTCCTTATTGCCTAAGAGACAAGCCTCAGAGAGGGGTGGTGGCTCGGGGTGCTAGCACTTGTGAAAGGCAGAGTTAGACCTTGACTCCAGACCTTGTTTGTGTAACCACTGCTCTGCGCTGCCTGCAGGGCTTGTTTTGCTAAAACTTCAGGATCCACAAGATTCCAAGGGCATGCAGAACAGGGTGTGGGGGAACCACTCTGGAAGTCATTCCAAAGTGTGGAAGGGCTAGGCCCTGGGCCCTGGAGGATTCCACCAGGCCTCAAGGCAGTCGTTTTGGGAACTGACCCGATGTGGTGTCCCTCCCTTGACTCATAAGTCTTACTCTGGAAGGACTTGGAAATGGAGATGCTACTGAACCATCTGTGAGTTCTCATCTGTAAAGTTTGACTGGTCACCCTCTTGCGAGAGTGCTTTACCCAGCATCACCAAATAACCCAAAAGTATTTGGAGGACTGGGACCTCACACCTTGGCCAGGCTTTCAGTCTGCAAACTGAAGCAGGCGTTTCGGCCTACCCCTAGAGATCAGGATACTTGGGAGGCTGAGGTAGGAGAACTGCTTGAGCTCGTGAGTTCAAGACCAGTTTGAAGCTGGGCATGGTGGTATACACCTGTAATCCTAGCACTCTGGGAGGCTGAGGCCGGAGGATCAAAATTTTGAAACCAACCTAGACAATTTAACACATTAACAAGACGGTGTCTCACAAGGATCGGAGGAGGATAATTTGCTGACCAAGCAGATCTTCCCAGGCCAAGATCTGGACACAGGTTTGAACAGGGCTGGGACCACAGCTGGGTTGGTTCCACCTCTCACATGGAAACTTTCCCACCTGTGTGACTTCCACAGTGAACCAGAGGCATGGGGGGCTTTTGGCCTGATGGAGAAGGCAGGAAAACTTGGAGTCAGTGCATAGTGCATCCTATTCTCAGGCCTCATAAAGGCCTTCTTCCAGAGCCTGGGTAGGCCTGGGCAGCCCTCTGACACCAACCTGTTAAACTAGTTTTAATCTAAAACAAGTCTGAGCTTTGCCAGAAATTCAACAGCCTCCCCACTCCTCCCTGATTCAGTGAGGCTACACGGCCAGCCAACCAGGGAATCGCTCCAGTGGTCACTCTTGGGCAGTAGGCTATGTCTGAGACTGAGACAGAAGAGGTCCCTGAAGGTTTGACTCTGGCCAAACTGCAGACCAGAGCGGGGTTGAAGAGTGGCTTGGCAGGCTTTGGGGAAGTATAGAGAAAATGGAAACTGATACTCATCATGGGTCCAAGGAGATGCAGAGGTACAGGACAGGGGGAGGCCAAAGTTATTTCCTCAGTGAGAAGACAGCTGTTTTTATGACACAGGCCTAGCAGAAGCAGGCAGGGCTCAGCATGCAGTAGGCAGCCTCTGAGGGCTGAGGACCTTGGGATTACCCCAACTCCTCCAGGCAGTGCTCCAGGACTCTTCCATCCTTACAGCCCCATTACAGTGAATATACTGGCACCAGAGATGCTGTGATGGTATGTGGCTAAAATGGCATGGTATCCTGCAAATGCTCTCCAGGGGCAAAGTCCTACTGCAGAGACTCTGCCCTCATCCAGCACGAATGAGTCAGACTTCCTGTTGCCAGAGCTGGACTTCTCCTTCCCCAGAGGTACAGATTTCACTTGTGCTCTGAGTTAGGCAAAGCTGTGTTCTCAATGCCTCTTGGCTCTCACCCTGCACCATCCCCCCAGGAAGTGCTTCATTGCTTCCTGACCCCACCAGCCTCACCTCTGAGCACATCACAACACTGTATGTGTGTTGACCTTTCCACTCAGTCAACATTGTTTTGTTTTCCCTCAGCTAGAAGACTGTCTTAGAAGGAGC